AGCGCCCCCTCCCTGCCGACCCCTCTGCTCCCTCCTCCAATTCCACTCCTCTCAGCACCCTCTTCGCTCGACGGAAAAGAAGTCTCCTTCCCGTAAAGCGCAGAATCCATCCAAGAGTCGTACAGGACTGTCGAGATCCAGCTGGATGTACAAAGGTTGGATCGAAGAAAATAAATAAATACTAGCCTCAACGTAAACATCATACACTGTGATAATCATAATAAAATCTTTACGGTATAGCGTATAAGAAAATAAAACGAACAGATGTCACGCGTTAAATTGGCTTTTAGCGCACCATTAAATCTCATTATACGTTCCCCATGCCGTCGTGTACCCACTCGGAGTCATCGGGGTATTTGGATTGTGGCCGGAGAGCGAAACGGTACGAGGTAGCTGGGCATTACCTGTAAACCAAATAAGTACTCGGACTCGGATACGTTTGGATGCTAGGTGGACGCGAGTGTCCAAGAGCGATACCAGTGGGACGTACCAGTATACAGAAAACGTATAGTTACCGGTATAGTTATGCCTCTCTGTTCCCCGTCTCGTTCGTATAGGTACTTCCATCTCGCTCGCTCTATCTCTCCATATATTCGACGCTATACGCGTCTAGCTTCCTATGTGCATATATATAACTAAACAGAGAGAGGCAGAGGGACGTACCGCTACATCGGCAGTGCCAGTAAAGGAGGGAGAGAGAGAGAGAGAGAGAGAGAGTCACGTATGGTGTACGCCAGGCATTGGTGCCCCATTGGGGTTGGATAGCTGGTGTTGGTCGAGGCAATGATGGTGGCAAGATGAACGTGTGCTGGTGCCTAGAGTACAACTCATAGTACGCTCCTGTAGTATCCGTAGTATTCCCACCCCTGCGATCCCCACGAGTCGGTCGTATGGAGGGGGAGTCTGACGTGAGAGAACGTGGACGACGGCGAGCAGCGGGGTGACGGAGGCTTACCCCCACCCGTTCTCACCGGAACCCCTTTAACTCTCTCTGAATGGCTGAACGATTCCCGCCATTCCCCCCACCACGAAAGCTCTAGCTGGCCACGCCCATTTGCCGGCGGCGGCCATCTTGCATTATGTAAACTGCCCCTACGCTTCCTGCATGGGCTCTTCTCGTTGTTAACTCCCCTTCCTATTCCAACCCATCCTCCCGCTTCACCCGTCTCTTCGTACTATGGAACAGTAGTATAGATAGATACCCACGCCAGACAGCGACGTACTATACCCATGCTACGAGGGACTACTCCGATATTACTACACAGCACTCCCCACTGCCTTCTACCGGCGTCCTACACCTACTCACTGTCTAGTACTATCACTATTGATATTATACTATATTATGCTATACTGTACCAGCCACTATTGCTATCCAGTACTATTTCTGTCCTACGCTACAGTACTGCCCAACTACTATTATTACTAGCTGCTACCGAACCGACGCCTCGGTACTTCCTCTTGCGCGGATGCGCCTTTATACTGTATTCTAGTACGATACTACCGTAGGTGTCGCTAGCGTCGCCCACGACACCCGTTGGCTCGATTTACATTGTCTACCAATGGGTACCCATCCAACTAGGTGGGATCGCCGTGACGCTGTCTCCGTCCGATGGATTCTTGTCTAACGAGGCGTAAGGCCCCTGCTGCACGGTGTTTGCTATCGATTCACGATGTTTGTCCTGCGATTGAACCATAGCTAAGAGACTGAGGACGCTTCGCACGGTTAGTCCTCGTTTAATTGTATGGCAGACAGAGAGACGTGTAGAGTATAGCTATACTCCACTTTCACCTTGGGTATGATCGAACGGGACTGGACTTGGAAGGAACATTAGCACAGGGGCCGTGCCGGGTGGGTTGGCTTAATGGGTGTGTATAACTTTCAAGATTCCCAGCGTACGCGATCGTATGTATATATGGCAGATGTATATATTTATATATATGGGTATATAGGTACAGGGGCGGTTTCATTCATGCCGTGTCTATTAAGACGTCTCTCCCTATCTCGAAGCACACCCGACCTCTTCTCCGATACGAATAAAGCTCAGTGGGTTGCTCGGGGGGAGGGGGGAGGAGGAGGGG